TAAATAGGACCTATAAGGACTATAGCACACAATGGGCTTCATTTCGAATGAATTATTATGTATAATGTTACCAGGACTTTGTATATTTTGAATTGATTCCAGACACGTGTAGGAAAATCTCCTCTGGCCGTTCCACACCAGCTGCACTGCTGATAACCATTACCAATCAGCCATATGTGCTGTGACGGAGGTTACAGGAAGAAAGGAGTAGATTAAGTGCTTGTGTGTGAGGAGAGAGAGAGAGAGAGAGAGAGAGAATGAGAAGAAAGGAAAAAAGGGGAGGGAGAGAGAACTGTATGTTGGTACAGCAGGGTAAAAGCTCCACTCCACAAAATGCTCTTTTTTTCCTGGTAACAAATTGTGTCGATGAATTATTTAAATTTTTTGGACTATATTAATGGAGCAACCAAATTTGTTTAACTAGACACACAATTGAAGGGATAGTTCTCTTTGAAATTAATTTTTGGTATGTTTTAGCTTACCTCAAGAGCATCCAAGATGTAGGTGTCTTTTGTTTCCACAGAATTTTCCATTTTTATATTTTTAGGTCAAACCGTTCTTGTCTGTCAGTCATATAATGGAGGTCTATGGTCACCATACAGTAAAAACTATGTTCATTTTTCTCACATAAACAGCTCGTTTCATGTCTTAGGCCATTAATGTGTACTTACATTTACGAGTCATTAAATCATGTTTAATTTGGACTTCTCTGTGCATGCTCTTTGAGGTGGTGACCATAGAGCTCCATTATATGACTGATAGACAAGAACGGTTTGACCTAAAAATATCAAAATTGAAACTACTGGGGAAACAAAGACACCTACATCTTGGATGCCCTTAAGGTAAGCTAAAACATACCAAAAATTAATTTCAAAGTGAACTATCCCTTTAAGTAAATAACTACCAAACTGAACCAACTTCAATAGTTTGGGGTCAGTAAGTCTGTTATGCTCACCATGGCTGCATTTATATGATCAATACAATAACACAGTACAAATTGTAATATTGTGAAATATTATTTCAAGTTAAATTAAGCGTTTGCTATTTTAAGATATTTTAAAATGTAATTTATTCCTTTTTAGCATCATTAATCCAGTCTTCAGTGTCACACGATCCTTCAGAAATCTATTTTTAAATTATTTGTAATATTTAAAAGTTATTTTCTGCTTAATATGTTTGTGAAAACTTCGTCTTGAAAAAAAAAATGACTTGGAAAAAAGATTAGTTTATTTTGATGAACGAGTTCGAACAGGAGAGTCACAAACGCTCATCACAGAACAGAGCAAGGCGAACATTTGTGCTTATAAACTTAAACTTTTGTATTAATTTTTTTAATGAGCGATCGTTTCGCTTGATAAGACCCTTATTGATCGTCTGGAATCGTTTAAAGCGTTTTGAACAGTTTGCAGTTTGCACTGAAACTCTTAATTGGACCTTGAACCGTTTGGTTCCCATTGAAGTCCATTATATGGAGAAAAATCCTGGAATGTTTTCATCAAAAACCTTAATTTCTTTTCGACTGAAAAAAAAAAAGACATGGACATCTTGGATGACACGGAGGTGAGTAAATTATCAGCAAAAGTTTTTTTTAAAAAGTGAACTACTCCTTTAAGACCTTTGGGAATAAAGGGTCCTTTAAAACTGAGTCAAGATCTACACAGAACCCCAATGAACTTTTTTCCCCCTACAATTGTACAGAGATCATGTTTCAATGAGCATCTGCAGACTATTCAACGACAATTAAATATTAAGAGTACACTGCTCATTACTATCACTTAGTAACACTATCCATTCACACTATTAAATGGACACTAAATGTAAAGAGTCGTGAGAAATAAGTGAATAATTCATTTAGTCACTTTAGACCAGCTCTCCTCTTTAAAAATAAAATCAGTCATTCATTACATGGGATAATAAACAATCAGTCTGTTAAACTGGGCCTTGTTCACCAAACCAAGTTTCACGGCTGTTTAAAAGTTTTGGGCCAGTAAGATTATAAGCTAAGGTAATACTTTTTTGCAACATGGATGCATTAAATTGCTCAAAAGTGTCAGTACAGACAATTTGGTGCCGTGACCCGGATACAGAATCTCAGCTGAATCTTGAAACTTCAAGCAACTGTCTCAGTTTATACACAGTTTGAATTGGAACCTAAATTATACATTTTATAAATTAGTAATACCACAACATTTATAATGTTGCTGAAGATTTCTTTCAAATAAATGCTGTTCTTTTGAACTTCATCAATTCTTAAATTCATAAAATAATTAAATGTAGGGGGGAAAAAACAATTTTCTACATTGATCATAAATGTTTCTTGAGCAGAAAATCAGCATATCAGAATGATTTCTGAAGGATCATGTGACACTGAAGACTGGAGTAATGATGTTTTATATCACAACATGCAATCCTAACACTATCACGTGTTTCCCACTGCTGTATTATACCTGCCCTACTGCAATGAAGTTCATTAATAATGGCAATAATAACAGTAACAGCAATAAAACAACCAATTTCTCCCTTGCCTTTAGACAACTAAACAGTCGAGACCAATTAAATTTTCTTGATCACCTATTTGAGTAGCGTTTTTGAGTGCTGACCCTATTAAACACAGTTAATCTGATTAGCCCACTGACCTCTCCCCTACTGACCCTCATACACACACTTGTTGACAGCCTGAAGTGTTGACCAGGAACATAATAGCACTGATGATCACTGCAAACCAGCTAATAAAGAACAGCTGTGATTGTTGAGTGAGCATAACCTGAGATCATGTGTGCTTTCAGTGTGCATGGTTATAAACTCCATTGGATGTCGGTGCTGTGGTGCGCTAGACGTCTCTGTGGTGGATTAAATATTTACTGTTTCTATGAAAAGAATCGAGGGCCTTGTTTAGATGCCCTCCGATTTGGTATAACGCTGAAATTCTGACTAATCCACTCATACAGCCTGAGGCACCTGCCTGTCAGCTCCTATTCTTCACACAGGATGGAAAAAACAACACACACATGCACACGCAAAAGTTTCCTCATCCATATGGACACGCAAAGAGATTTCATGAAACACGTGCACTTTTTCCACCAGGTACAAATTATTACTTCAAAGGCAAAATGACAAGTTCACAAGTCTTGTTTTCTGAATTTTGTTTTTCAAACTTAAAGGAGTAGTTCACTTTAAAAAAAAAAAAAAAAAAAAAAAAAACTTTTGCTGATAATTTACTCACCCCCATGTCATCCAAGATGTCCATGTCTTTCTTTCTTCAGTCGAAAAGAAATTAAGGTTTTTGATGAAAACATTCCAGGATTTTTCTCCATATAATGGACTTCAATTGGAACCAAACGGTACAAGGTCCAAAAGACAGTTTCAGAGCAAACTGCAAACTGTTCAAAGAGCTTTAAACGATTCCAGACGATGAATAAGGGTCTTATCAAGCTAAATGATTGGTCATTTAATAAATAAATAACAAAGTTTTAGTTTTATAAGCTCAAATGATCATCTTGCTCTGTTCTGTGATCTCCTGTTCGAACTCATTCATCAAAATGAACAAATCTTTTTCCGAGTCAATTAGTTCATTTCGTTTGTTGAATGAACCAAATGACTCGAAAAAAGATTTGTCCATTTTGATCAGGAGAGTCACGAACGGACAGAGCAAGGCAAGCATTTGAGCTTGTAAAATTTAAACGTTGTTATTTATTTATTAAATGAGTGATCATTTCACTTGATAAGACCCTTATTCATTGTCTGGAATCATTTAAAGCCCTTTGAACCGTTTGGTTCCCATTGAAGTCCATTATATGGGGATTGTTTTCATCAAAAACCTTAATTTCTTTTCGACTGAAGAAAGAAAGACATTGACATCTTGGATGACATGAGGGTGAGTAAATTATCAGGAATGACTACACTTAAAGTCATAGCATACCAAAAAAAAGAAAATTCTTTTACTCATCTTGAAAGGTAAAGGGCGTTAAGTAACCGGACAATGTGAGCGACAGTTTAGCCAATCACAACACACCCGCCCAAACTAACCAATCTGAGCTCACTCCCTGTTTCTGAGGGAGTGGTTTCATAAACTCAGGAAGTCAACCGCTCGTTCAAATGACAGAGTAGAGCGCGGCTTACAATGAAGGTGAAATTATGAAAAATAAGACTTAAAAAAATGAAAAACCACGAATACATGTTATATTGCACCTCATAAACACAATCATGCGAAGAAAAAAAGAAGTAAACCACCCCTTTAACATTCGGTGACATATGATCTAAATAGTACATTTATTGTAGTATTGAAAATTTGCAAGGCTGCAATTCCCCTGGCTGGCCACTGTTTGTCGCCACTAAAACTTATGACTAATGTGATCATCTGTGGATAACAAAATGATATATTCTGAGGAAAAGTTTTTGTCAGTCTGTCAGGACCAAAGCAATTTTGGACCCCATTGACATTCATTGTATAGAAAAAACAAAACATTGAGACAGAATGAACCAAATGACTCGAAAAAAGAATCGTTCATTTTAATGAACGAGTTCAAACAGGAGAGTCACGAACGCGCATCACAGAATAGAGCAAGGCGACCATTTATAAAAATTAAACTGTTATTTTTTTATTTTATTGTTTCGCTTGATAAGACCCTTATTCATTGTCTGGAATTGTTTAAAGCCCTTTGAACAGTTCGCAGTTTGCACTGAAACTGTCTTTCGGACCTTGAACCGTTTGGTTACCAGTGAAGTCCATTATATGGAGAAAAATCCTGGAATGTTTTCATCAAAAACCTTAAAGCAATTTTGGACCCCATTGACTTTCATTGTATAGAAAAAACAAAAAATTGAGACATTAAGTTTTTGCGTTCCACTTTTGGTTTGGGTGAGTAAATAATGACAGAATGGTCATGTTTTTTTTGGTAAACTATCCCTTTAAGTATAAAAGTATTGTGTTCTCTATCGCAATAAACACATTCAACATCCCATTTTTGTTCTCTCACAACAAACACACGTTGAGGGCTCACCGCAATCCGCAGCAGTGTCCCCTTCACTGATGCCCATCTGTCTTGCCGGCGGTCAATGACCAGGATGAAGCCGACCCCCGTCGAGCTGAGACTGAAAATCAAAAACACACCATCACCATGGCAGCAAGGGCGCACACACACACACACACACTTCCAAAAATCATAAACATTGACATGTCAGATATACCTTAAAAGCCATCATTAAACAGATCTCCACTAACTAACAAACACACTGCAGTCATCCTTACACATCAGACTGGTAAATTAACCAGCACCACACATATTTCATTTATGCCCCCACACACTCAAAAACGCAGCCAAAAGCATATCAATACACAGAGACGTACGTTGAGACGCACTAGCCCAGAATGCAAGCGTAGCGCAGAGATGCTGAGCTGGATGCTACGTCCATCACCATGGAGAACGCTGCTTTTTAGTGACCAAGGCAGTGGAAAAATCCAAATGCACACTCCTGATATTTTAAAAAAAGCAGCGTGGATGTACAGAAACAACCCCTAATGCTGATACTCCAAGTGTCCTTCGGTGGATTTCGATGTCGTCAGATGGTTTCTTTCTTCCCTTCAGTGCACCTTTGCTTTCAGCCCCTCTGTTTATGGTTCCATTTGAATGAGTGCCACCGTAGGCACAGACCGGGAGAACAGCTACATTTCGCCTCCCCTTCTACAGCGACCAATCGTGCAGCATCAGGTGCTCCCTCTCGACCTATCAGAGCTCAGGAGAGCGCTGATGGACAGAGACCCAGAGACTAGCTTGAATCGCGAATACAGAATGTGGGTGCGGATTGATAATGAAAGCTCCTCCCGATAGAAACTGGCACTGCAGATACTCGTGTATCAAATCTGCCGCCATTACACTGACACACAGATTGTGTGTCTCTTCTCCTGGCTCACGTTACCGCTCCCGCCTTCTCCAGCAGATTTTCACACTCCCCATCCCTTTTCTCCCCACTCAATCCTACCTCCCCTGTCCCCCTCTAAGCCTCTGGCTGTTTTTCTCAGGAACGTTTGTTCTTCGAGCCTTTCATAGCGGAGGGTGAGATTAAGAAGGAAAGGAGAGAGGTGTAAGGGTCTTATCAGCCTCTGTGTGAAGACTCTGCGCTGACATTGACTAATGACCTTGAGTGTCTGTCAGTAATAAAGATCAGAAATCTGATTACAAACATCACTGTAATTATAACCTTCCATTCAACGGCTTCTAAAGCCATCGGGTGCTTCATTGCACATGATTTATGGTCATACTGGTGCTCAGTCCATTACTGTTTTTAATTATTGTTCGGTGTTGTTGGTGCATTTTATTAAGAGCGACATCTAATATTTTTTTAAATTATAGATAGTTGGACGCTTTGAGTTAACAATGGGACGAAGATATATTCAATAGAGGGCATTTGCATTTTCATTGTTAACACAAAATATATAATTTAAAATATATATATAGGGTTCGACTGTAAATTGTTAAGTTGATTAAAATATTACATTTTAACATCGTAGATGTTTTGCCAGAAACCACAGAGTAAATTGAGGACAATGGATGAATTTTACAAATAAATTGTTTTGGTTATGATTTAAAAAAAAAAAAAAAAAAAAAAAAACTTATTTGGTTATATTTCATAAAATAAAACGGCAAAAAACATACAAATAAATAAAAACAAACAAACTAAAATAAAAGAAACAAAAATCAAAATAATAAAATTAAATAATTAATTGTGGCATAATTTTCAACCTGATTGCATTATGTGCCCAGAGAATAGCAATGATGTTTCATTTAAATTAAGCATTAATGCAAGGCAGTAAAACTTTTTTTTTTATTGCATTACAATATATTGGGGCTAAACGCATTTAAAGGGATAGTTTACTTTGAAATTAATTTTTGGTATGTTTTAGCTTACCTCAAGGGCATCCAAGATGTAGGTGTCTTTGTTTCCACAGTATTTTCAATTTTGATATTTTTAGGTCAAACCGTTCTTGTCTGTCAGTCATATAATGCAGGTCTATGGTCACCACCTCAACTGAGTTGATATATCAAAATCGTCTTCCATTGCGATTTCCTGTATATTAAAATATGTTTAGATTTTCAAAGTGAAAGGTAAAACTTCCAAAATCTCTGTGTAAACGAGTGACCTACATGCGCGAGAGATTCCGGCACTTGCGCAGACAGAAGCGTCCACGCCCTCAGAATACTTGGACGTGGCTGTGGTTACAAGAGGTAAAAAATAAATAAATACCGCTCGTTTCGTGTCTTAGGCCATCAATGTGTAATTACATTTACGAGTCATTAAATCATGTTTAATTTGGACTTCTCTGTGTATGCTCTTTGAGGTGGTGACCATAGACCTCCATTATATGACTGACAGACAAGAACGGTTTGACCTAAAAATATCAATATTGAAACTACTGCGGAAACAAAGACACCCACATCTTGGATGTCCTTGAGGTAAGCTAAAACATAGCAAAAATGAATTTCAAAGTGAGCAATACATTTAACTGTAGTGAAAATAATGCCACAATGCAATTAAAGCTTTTATGGTCAAAACATACTTTCTTTTGTGTTGAAATATGACTAAGGCACATTCTTGAAGGTTTTCATGACGTTAACCCCTTTATTTCACAAGCTGCTGTATTTTGCTCCCTGACTCCTCTCATTCACCAAATCAGAACCAAATTAAAACCCCATCGGCCATTTTCAGCATGAATAAATCCATCTAATTACTCAATCACCCCCTCTCTCTGTTGCTCACGGGAATAATGGGGATGCAAGAGAGAGTGACAGAAAGGACCAGAATCACTCTTTCATTAGAATATTAACAAGGGGTGTTAAATTTAAGAGGATTTCACAGGATCAGCAAATAGACCAATGCACCACTGAATTGATATATATATATATATATATATGCTAATTAATTAAACATCTATTGGTTACTTATTGATATGATGGCATTTCAAAGTCAATAATAACAATAAATGTATTTCCCTGAGAATCTCATGTATTCAGATTATTCACAAACTAAGAATGCATCTGTAAAACAAGGGGCAATAAGATCACCTTGTTAACCATGTACATAATTACCCATTCTAATTTAATATGCATGATGAATATTAATGAGGCACCAGTCACACACACAGGCAGGCAGTCTCGTCACATATTCATTGGATTGCAAAAAGTGTGATGTTACAATGGGAAAGCATTAGTTTGCCCCCTTCTGTCCAATTCAAGAACTAAACCACCAAAATATGTCTCCTCCAGTCTCTCATATACATTCCAGTGATATACAATCAGAAATTAAATAGATATTCTAGATTTAGATTTTTAATAATTCTAACAGGATTTATTTATTAATTGCTCCCACACCTTTCAATTGCTGATCATCACTGGATTTTAAATCGTGTTCGATTGAGGCATGTTTGGAATCAGATTAGAGTATTAGAATACATTAAAATATGTTAAAATATTAAATACATGTCTCCAATAAAACCCTCAATGATGACTGAGGTTATCACACTGGTTTGCATGCAAGTCTACACTATCTACAAGCACTTCTTAAATAATGACTTTACATTTCAGAGATTCCCATGAATCCTGGTTATTTTTGTGTAAGTGCTGAAAATGACCGATCCCTCCCGTTTTCTCACCTGGGAATGCTGGTCAGGTATGTCAGCACATTGTGAAACTCCTGTTCCTCCAGCTCACCAAACGCCGGGTACTCTGGGAAAATAATGATGGGGCTGCCATTTTGTCCTCGGCCACCTGGAAACGCAGATTTGGAAGAATGCAGTTGTTAGCAATTCTATGAATATTAAACATCGTTTGGTAACACTTTACTTGAATAAGACTATGACACCTTCATAATCATGACATATGTTAAGGTTTTATGCATGTTTGTGACAACTGTCATTAAGTGTCATTTGCTCAGTTATAACATTTTTAATGCAAATATGACATTGTTTGAGATTGTTTGACACCTTGACATAAACCAATACATCATAACCTGTCAGTGTCTTTGTCATGACAACTTGACATTACTAAGACAACACAACCCGTCATAAACATGACATAGCAGATTAATGATCAAACTTAAGAAAGCACCTAGCTTTATTGGTTAACAAAACATTAAACTGTCAGGTGGTTGGTTTTGACATTGGCTGTCATGAAGCCATTATAACTTTTTAATGACAAATTCAATTAGTACCACTGTAGTTGAGCTGACGAAAATATTCATGACACAGTTATAATGGCCTCATGACAGCCAATGTCAAAGTTCAACTTAATTTAATGTCAAGTTCTCATGACAAAGACACTGACAGGTTATGATATATTAGTTTATGTCAAGATGTCCTATTTGCATTCAAACTGTCATTATTGAGCGAAAGACACTTAACAGTTGTCATAAACCTTACTTCATATTCAAGACGTATGTCATGTCATGGTTATGAAGGTGTCGTGTCAGTCAGTCTTCTGCACACCCCTTCAAGTAAAGTACCCATCATTTTATTTATTATTTAATTTTGCCTAGTAATACCCATTTGCACTCTTATAATATATGAAACCCTTCAGATTAAGAGTGGACATTGTCTAGAGCCAGTGACCTAGAATCAGCGTTAACCTCCCGAAATCGTCTGAACACATTTATAGCCATGACTGACCTCAGATCTGAGATATGTGCATTTTTTAAAAAGTCTTCTACCCACAAGGGGGCACTTCCACATCTTCCCATGTACAGCTCACACAGAGGAAGACAGAGACTGCGTACATTCACAGAAGACTAATCTCAGCTATTACCAACTGCATAGATGTGCAAGATCAAGGACATGAGGCAATCTCAAGGGCACAACGCCATGAGGACCAAACCTTCAACATTACTGAAGCTTTAACTTTGTTAGTCTCTCTCTGTGTGTGTGTGTGTGCGTGTCTGGGGTTGGGGAGAAAGAGACAGAAAGGGAAATAGGAAGAAGGACATGTTTGGTGCATTGCGCGCAGTGACAAAGGTCATGTGGTGGTGTGTGTGTGTGTGTGTGTGTGTGTGTGTGTTTGGCTGCTACACTGAAATTAATAGAGCAGGATGGATCCACTGCAGAGCTCACACTAACACCTCTATGACAGCCACACACAGGTGAACACACAACGTGAAAAGGACACTGCTGTCGCATTTGTAATCATAAGTAGAGCAAAACCAAAGGACCAGGTGTGTGAGTGTGTCAGTTTGTGTGTGTGTGTGTGTGTGTGGGGGGGGGATCTATAAAGTGATTTATAGTGATAAATAGAATAGTATAAGAGCAGAACAACAGAATGGAGTAGAATATGGAGTAATGGAGTATAATAGAAAAAGTAGAACATAGTAGAATGGAGTATAAAAGAGTAGAATATAGTAGAATGGAGTATATTAGAATAGACGAATAGAGTATATTACAATAGAATGGAGTAGAATGTAGAAAAACAGTATATTGGAATTCAATAGAGTAGAATGGAATATACATGGGTAGAACAGTAGAATGGAGTAGAATTTTGTATAATGGAGTATAATAAAAATAATAGAAGCAGAGCAATCTAAAATAGAAGAATAGAGCAGAAATGTGTAAATTAAATTAGTGTATAATAGAGTAGAGTAATACAGTAAATAATCAGAACACACACACACCCAAGAACACGGACAACATTAACAGGAAAAAAAATGATAAAACACTCCATACAAAGATTATCAAAACTTTGCATATTGGGTGACTTTAGTTTCCTGCAATTCCATCACACACACACACACACACACTATGATAATGATAATATCAGACACGGTAAGCTGCAACCATCTGGAGGGAAAAAGCTGGTCAGAAAAAGATAAAAAGAGCAAAAAGGAAATGAAAACAGGAAATAAACAGAGGGAGAGTCTAGCAGTTGAGGTCTGTCATTAAATCTAGGTGGAGAACTGAGGCATTAGAGACCACAGGAACACACACACTCGTTTCTGCATTCACAAGTCACCAAGTAACCAATGCTCCACACTAAGGGGAGGTTGGTAAAAGTGAGTGAGCCATCTAAAAATAAAAATATTTGAACAGCATTTCTCAGCAGTCCTCTCCAGATTGCAAGATAGGCAATATAGTGTTGGCTAGTGCACATTAGTTGTGCACTCTAGATGGAAACAAACTTTCTACTAAGAATTCAGACAACAGAATAAAATGGATGACACAACACAACCGATGATGATTTCTTAAAGGGATACTCCACTTTTTTTTTTTAGAAATACAATTTTTTTACCACTCCCCCAGAGTTAAACAGTTGGGTTTTACCGTTTCCGAATGCATTCAGCCAATTTTTTTTGATATTTAGAAGAATATCAGTAACCAGACAGTTTCTGGTCTCATTGACTTCCATATAGTATATTTTTTTCCTACTATGGAAGTCAATGAGACCAGAAACTGTCTGGTTCTCTCTATTCTTCTCAATATCAGGAAATCGGCTGAGTGGATTCGAAAACGATAAAACTCAACTGTTTAACTCTGAGGGAGTTGTAAAATGAGCCTATTTCCAAAAAAACAGAAGCCACCGGTGCAATGAACACTGATTCTGGTAATCATAGAAACCTCAGTCTTTAAATACAGTACGGCCATAAACAACGCATTAAAAATGAACCATTTTGCACTGAACTCTCTCAAAAGGTTACAAAAATACATTTAGTATTATGAAAGTCCTATTTGTTTTTGTAAATAATTTTGCAGGGAATATCCTTGTTTCTTTAACGACGCAACTTGGTTGTTGTTCACTCTTCTGGCACTATCGTGGTAAATGTTTCATGGCATGTATAATGCATGAGTTCAGAGTCAGGCTGCTATATATTCAGGGACTCTCTCGTAGATTTGATGCAATAAAAGCATGAGGGGTTTTATAGAAAAACCTGAATCCCAATCTAATCCTCTTATTCACCATAAAACTCTTCTATAGGACTAACTGTCATTCAAATATCCTCGCAAAGCACATCGGCTCAGAACGGTGTTGTCAAGCGCATCGCCAAGGCAACACTGAATAATTAAGGGGCGTTATCCTGGGCAACATGAGCCGGGCCCTAACTGGGTTATTTACGGAGACTGAAGAGAGTTTCTGTGTGTCATTAAGTGAATGAGTGTATATGTGGAATCTGTGCACGTTCTGAATGAATCTGCTGTTGACACCGTGAAAGCAGACATCTCGGTTGTGAATTCACACGGCATATGTGAAACCGGACACATCATACTCAGGATGGTGTCAAAGCATTATAAATATAGCTCATATCAAACATCGATCAGCAAACATGAACAGAAACTCAAACACGAGACACGAGAATGAACCTCATTGGTTCTCGCACATCAAGCAAACATCCATGAGATTCTGTTTACTACAACTGATGTGTGAGTTGATTAATAATTATGTGTGAATAAAAGCCAGAATTCAATCCGTTCATCATGTAAAGTGATCGAGTCTCTTTTGAAAATTTCGGACTAAACCGCTCGATTAATGTGGATTAGTTTTCCGATCTCTTTATGAACTTTTTGAAGCATCAAAGTGGTAGTTGTGTAGCTGTCAATGGAGGGACAGAAATCTCTCAGACTCCATTAAAAAGACCTTCATTTGTGTTCTGAAGATGAACAAAAGTCTAATGGGGTTTGGAAGTTGGAACGACATGAGTGTGAGCAAATAATGACAGAATTTACATTTTTTGGTTTAACTACCCCTTTAAGCGAGTTATTTTATTTTTTTACTCTCAGGATCTCTGACAGTCGGCACACAATGCTCTTTATTGGCAATGCATTCTGGGACTGATTGTGTAGGAGACTCACCTGACAGGAAGGCAAACTGTTTCCTGAGGTCTGGGCTGATGTCTGCGGCACACAGAGGACTGCTCTCCTGCTGCATAATCTCATCTGAATGACAAATAAAGAGATAAAAAAAAACTTTATTTAAAGTGCCCCATTATGCTTTTCATGCAGTGTGTAATAGAGTTGTTTGGTCTACAAACTTTTATAGATTAAAGTGCCCGAATAAATTTAGTTAGTCTACACAAAGAAAGAACCGATTCTGAATCCTTGATCAAACCGTTTATATACTGTGAGAAAAGATGATGCTGCAATGCATATTATGATCAACTTAAACTGTTTGACTCATTAAAGTCTATTTATCCAAAAACCAACACACAATATCATAGACAGAGATCTGACTTCACATTCTTAATCCAGACGTGGGTTATAGTGAAGATGGCGTGCTCTTGGTCAGAGTTTGAGAAGAGCAGTTGTATGTTGTTGAATGAACGGATTGATGGAGATGAGAAGGTGAAAACAGAAAAACAAGCATATTTTAATGGGCATCGGGAAATGATGGATTATTGTAAGCAGCTTTTGAGAGTCTTGAGCCGCTGCAGTGTGTGTGTGTGTGTGAGTGAGTGAGTGAGAGTCTGCTGTGGTGCACCGCATCTCTCTCAGGATCAGACTCTATGACTTTAAGAGTTTAGATATGTTCTCATGGGTTACATTCTGAACACACATCAATATGAATAAAGGTCAATTGAGTTCCAGAACAGATGAATCTGAAACATAGATCCAAAACGATCCATCCTGACCAACCACTGGCACAGTGCCTATTAGCATGGACACACACACACACACGTGTCCAGCAGACAACATCCATCTGTGCAACAGACCATCTGGGTCGACAACACAGAGGTTGTAAGAAACAGATAGGATGGCTTTTGCTGCTTTAAATTAGCAACAAGTAAATTATGAAATAGTTATTAATAGAATGGGTTTATGCAGTTGTTCAGAATCCAGAATTAAATTACATGCATACAATTTACATGCAATAAAAATTGTCTTACTCTAACCAAGAAACTGTAAAGTGAATAAAAGATAAATACATACAGTAAAATAAAAAGATAAACTATAATATAATAAAATTATCTAAAATAAAAATAAAAACTGGAATTAGAATAACTTTGATAAAACAGTCCTGAAATATATCATGGTTTACCAAAAATTATTAAGGACAACTGATGTGGGGACTGGAGTTAAGACAATGACAGAAATTAATTAAAATGTAATATAGGGGAAACAAATTCATAAAATTCTATTAAAATTTCACACATTTTACTGTAATTGTGATCAAATAAATTCGTCCTTGGGGAGCAGAAGAGAGAAAAAAAAAAATCTTACTGACCTCAAACATTTGGTAAATAAATAATAACCCAAAGATTTTGTTTTTATTGCTGGTATTGACCAATCAGAATTATGCATTTAATACTATTCTTTTGAGAATTATACAGATTGTGAGGAACAAAACACTAAACATTTACGGGGTAAGCAAGACTAAAAATAAAACTGATAAAAAATATTTATTAAAGATTTAAATACATTTTTATTTTATTTTTAATCATAATATCCTAAAACCGTATTCCGGACAAATGTGTGAAAAATAGTTTTGATTTATTTTTAAAAAATACTTCCCTTGATCTGAGCGGTACAAGACTTGGCTACTTTTCCTAAGTTTGCCTCCAGAACACACACATCTTTTTCTGATTTTTTGACTGAATGGGAAAAACTGTAATTTAGAGCATTTTAAAATAAGCCAAAATAAGACACCAGGTGACAGCAAAGTCACTTCAACTTTACGTTTTAGCTCTAAGAACTTATTGGAATGATATTTTAATGTAGAAAAAAAAGATATAATAAGCATAATTTACAGAGAAAATATGGTACTTTTTGAAGTAAATAAATTCAAAAATACCCCCAAAATAAAAACAAAACACCATAAATGGATAGACAAAACTTTATCGAAGAGAGTGATATATAACATTTATAATAAATAAAAATTAGGATCACATCTGAGTCCATGTCCACAATTACAGGATTAAGGGCTATAAGTGAATACGGTTTGAGGGCAACAATTTCTAAAATAAATTCCTATGACAACCAAATTAATCACAGTTTAATTGACTTCCTCAATCCCATTTTTCCTAAATTGACCCTGACTGTGCTGCACTCAAACAAGTTTACAAATCACTCACGATATTTACTGTGATTTATACTACGTTACTTTTGATTATTCTGTGAGATTTAATTTTTTAATATATTGTCTAAACCCCTTGTGAAGCACAACCTTCACATCATCTGATAAAGTGGCTTGTTAATATAATCTCGCAACACAGGAAAATGCCCTGGTTTGGAAGCTGTGGAGAACATTAGCCATCAGGAGAAGATAAAGACGCCTGAAGGACGGTGATGTCAGGCACATTACAACATTATAGAAAAACACGCTAGCTACTCATCCTGTTATTAAGATTCTGTAAAGTTCAATGACATTGTGCCTGTTCTTTAAAAAAGTCGTCATTTGCCGCACCATATAAGTACAGTCCCTTGAACTTCAAAGTTCATCCCCCTCAGTGTCAATAACAACATGCTCTACTCAAACTGAACTATCTCCCCTCTCCTTTCCCACCGCTCCACTCACTCCAGCAATGGAAAGATGCTTGAGGATAAAGAGAGCGCTGTCAATCCTTAATGGGATCAACCCTGGTGACACAGACGCCTGAGAATAGATGCTGAAAGTGCGGATTGTTGCACAGATTGCAGACCACATTCAGATTAAGATGTTACAGGGATTGCTGGTCTCAGATCAGCCGATGACGCGTGACTTTAGAGACAGCTGCCACAGTCCAGGTTCAAACTGAGCTAGAGAGGTTACGGGAAGATTCAGAGATCCACTCGTTGATCACACCTTGACCTGATTGGTGTTTGTGAGGTCAGAAACATCAACGATTTCAAACCGGGTATTTTTGAGTCTTCGGTTCACTGCCGTTTTCAAGGAAAAAATACTTTAAAATAAAATAAGGGGACTTTAAGCATAGCATTCAATAATATCAACAACTGAAGTGCCTGGACTTTGGCATCAGTGGTTTTCCATGTTCGTGGAGATAGTTCATGGAGCATGTATTTTATAAGGCTTTTTAAAAATGGCGGGTGCCAGTGTTTCATATGGCAGACGTTCGGCCAATCATCATACAGTACACTTGAGTCACTGGTAGCTCCAATAGGCCTATGTCACGGAAAAATTGAAGACCGTCTTTTAGTAGGGATACGGCTCTTCCGGTTAGCTTTTTACAATGGTGGAGTCCGACAGATAACCTTGGACCAAATCTCTCCGCAACCTGCCTGAAGTCACATGACGATGTGGTTCGAATGCTAAATGAAAACTCTCAAGTGAGAAAGCGCGAAAGCTGAGGTATGGCTGTCTACGTCCTGATGCAGAGCAACCCGGTACACTACCACAACAGCCGCGGGTAGCTCTAGCAGTTCGCCAGTAAGGTTAACGTTTCTATCGTAACAGCAAGTCGGACCAATCAGCAGAGGTTGCTGCTATGCAGGGTTGCCAGGTCCCAGAAATATTTCAAGCCCAATGACAACTCAAAACCCGCCCAAATGGAATGAAAACTAGCCCAATTTTCCAGTGTCCAATCAGATTAGACAACGACTGGATTCCCACAAAGGGCCTTAAAATAAACTTTTACATATATATACATGTGTGTGTGTGTGTTAAGTTTAAAGTTTTGAAACCCCCAGAAGAAGCAAAAACTCCACAGTGGTTGTTGCCAAATATTCATTCCCGGGGATCAACAACACCCACTAATAAACAGTTCCCTTTTAATTTTTTCTTTGTCTACAATTTAATTATTATTATTTTTTGCAGGCCGCAGTACATAATAAATATAGCCCAAAAAAACGCAACCCGCAACTCTGTAATTTTTCCCGCGACTCTTTTTTTTTGTTTAAAATAGCCCAACTGTGCGGGAAAACCGCTACCCTGGCAACATGCTTAGAATTGTGGGTAGTGTAGTTTTCTTTCATAAGTTCGCAGATAAAACATGTTTTTCTTAAAACAAGGCTGATTTCATACACACTTATAGCTTCAACAACCTTCGTTTCACAACCTCACAGCTCTTGGTAAGTCTACATCGGATGGTTTAGACATTAGGGCTGTTAATCTAAATCCATCGAGAATACTGTTGACCGGAAGTTCTGTGTAACTCCGCCTTCCGGAAACAGGAAGTGTTACATAGGCCTATTGTGCTGAGTTAGATCCTCCTCTGAAGGAGGAGCTTATTTAGGCCCCCTCCCAAAAAGCTGTTACTATAACCAAAATCGTTTCCACTTCCTGCGGCGTGAACATCAAAAAGCGGGTAAATCCATTAGTTATAGCAACTATGAGAAAAAAAATTGCAAAAGCCCCTGATGCTTTGCTTTTCTTTGACCTGGTCGTAAGTCAGTACATCCATACTCAAAGTTCATCTCATGGATTCATCACTTGTTGCTTCAGGCTATAAGGGTTCATTCTACAGGTTGTGCAACATCACAAAGACAAAATGTGATGGGAGAGAACATATAAAAATAGACCTGCTTAAAAATAACAGGTCAAAGGACTTTATGGCCAAGTACTCCATGACAAGTTCCTCTGTGTTGCAAATTGGATTGTATTCCAAACACTATTATGCATTTAAGCAATTAGGTATAAGAGGCGGCTACGGAGCACATGACATAGACGCAGAGGAATGCCAGCAACTCCTTCATCTGCGAAGATATTCACATTGCAGCACAAACTCAAATACCTTTTTTTAAACAGCAAACAGCACAAAAAGGTGCATTATGCAACATTTCATGTTAAAAATAGCCGTTTTTCTAACCCATACGCTTCAATGATTGCCTGGTGGGCTGAATGAGCCCTTCTCTGATCACTGCGATCGCCTCTATAATCCTGTACAGTAAAATAAATAAGAGGGATTCGGGACGGAGTTTGAGACTGGGCGTGTCATGTGTGTTCACGCTCACCTGGCGATGTCTGGCAGGTTTGTGTATTCGCCGCCATTCTCCGTATCAGAGAA